ATATAGATTGAATAAGTGTGGAGAAAGAATACAACCCTGACACACTCCCTTCTTGATTTTAAACCATGTAGCGTCCCCTTGTTCTGTTTGAACGACAGCCTCCTGGTCAAGGTACAGATTCCTCATGAGTACAATCAAGTGCTCAGGGATTCCCATTCTTCTCAATGTTATCCATAATTTGTCATGATCCACACAATCAAATGCACATATATGCACCATGTTTTGTTCGTAATTTGATTCCAAGGGCTCCAAATACTCTGGTAGAAAATCCTTTAAAAAAGACCTCGTTTATTTCCCTTACCCCTCATTAGTCTATGTTGTGTTCCTATACATTGAATAGTTTCTCTTACTTGGCTCTTGGCTATGTTGAAAACTCAAGTTAGCAGTGGGTCTGTCGAAACATATAGCCACTCTTTGAAGATCGCTAATTGTGAAAAACACCAATTTTGATCACAAGGCAATTTTGATCTCAACAAAGCTGGAGATATCCAAATGTAACTTTAATACCTTCATATGGATTTTCATATACTTTTGTTAGACCACCTCTCAATGTGGGGGAGTGGGAAGGGTGGTTTGGGAAATACTGTCTAAAACAGCAAGCCTCCGAGGGAAGATGGGGCAATCTACTTCTGTACTGATACCGCCTCGGAAACCCAAGGAGGGGTTGCTATGAGTCAGGTCGGACTTGACGGCACATAACAAGGCAGCAAGCACAACCACCTTACTAACTTTCCAATGTAACAAACTGAGCAATTCTGGCTGGTGGATTTGAACCACCAGTCTTCTGGTTAGCAGTCAAATGCTTTAGATACTACACCACCAGAGCTCCTAATTCTGCCTGGTCTCAGAAATCTTATTTACAATTTTTTTTTTAATTAAGGCCACCAGGGGACAGTATAAGATTAATTCCCTAGGCCTGGCAGTGGCTAGGGTGTTGGGAGGCAAACTACTTTCTTTCAGCAGTGTACCCGATTGAACATTCTGAAGGAAGTCTGCCTTCTTCCTGGTGTCTTACCCTTTGTTCTCTCACTCCAAGGAGTGGTGTAATAAAAAATATGCTGAATGGAGTCTAAAATTAGAGGCAAAATGGCTTTCATTTATACCTTGCAGTCTAAGCCAGTCCTCTATCATACATGCCCAGTGTTAACTCACTCATTGATACAAGGAAAGGGGTTTCTAATACCCATCTTCTGACTTTCCCTTCTGGTTGTCTACTTGTGAACCATGTTTTCCCTTTCCCTTAAGATTTACAGGCTCCATTTGGTGGTCAACAATCTCCTCTAGCCTGTGGCTACTGTGTGATGTTATCCTAACTGGCTTTTTATTTTGGATTTTCCTTTTTTATCTATATTGGTTTCACTGTCCTTAGAGTAAGTTTTACCTCACGAAGTGCTTCATAATCTGCCCTTTACATGATTTTCTAGCATAACTAAAAAGTTCTATTTCCCATCTCTATCCATTTGTACATGATAGCCTGTTATATGCTCTGTGCCCTCTAGGACTTAGTCCTCCTTCCCTTTTCCAGACCTTTCTGAAGACCTCCACTGCAGGAACAAGTGTTCTCTTACTCTGTATTTCCCTAGTAAGCTTGACTTTCCCCATTATAGCACTTGTGACACTGTACTGTAGTTTTCTATTCATACTTCTGGAACCATTACTACTTTGTAAGCTTCAGAGGGCCAGGTATCCAGTGTCTGACAAAGACATAGTAAGTGCTCAGGAAATATTTGTTGACTGAATGAGTAAACAATGAGAGGGAAAAAAATGAATGAAATAGGCAGAGAAAAAGGGAGGTGCTATCCTATTTTTTTTTTTTTTAATAACAGCTTTATTGAGATATACTTTACATACCACAAAATTCACCCCTGTAAAGTATATAATTTCAGTGGTTTTTAGTATCTTGTTTATTTTCGGGTTAGCTAATTTTACAGAATAACTTAATTATAAGGGAAGATGTGGAATTTATTCTGTTAAAAAAACCTGCAATTTATTCTGAAAACCTTTATTAAAACTTCCTATTGTTGTAAGAATTTAATATATTACTTCATTATATAATGCCAGTAATGTCAAAGAAATGAAACAGATATTTTATTACATGTGTATTATGATTTCACATCTCTCTCTTTAAATCCAAATGCTTACCTGGGGTGTCTATAATGAATAAATCTTCACTTGTTGCATGTGTCAGTTCTGTAGCAATATTCCTTGTGCTTATGTGGGTGTTTCCATGTGTCTGTGTGTACCTCCATGTATGTAGTTTAACTGTTTCTTGAGAGTGGGGCTAGGGGAATGGGAAGTGTCCATTGCCATAATCATTGCTTTCCTTCTTGGGAAATGTTTCCAAATCTTTGTTTCATTTTACTTATTAGAAACAAGTGGCTTGGTTTATTATCTCATGTCTCTTCTTTTGCAGATGCAGCTGTTCATACTATAAATAGTAAAGAAGAATAAAACTGTGGATAATAAAGGAAATATTTAGAATGGTACATTTTGCTGATAAATCAACAATAGTCTTTTAGGGCAAGGTCCTGTATTCTGGGAGACACACAGTAACCTGAGTTGTGGTCTTCCTACACCAAACTTTCAACCAGGTTAGGGGAGTAAAGCATAAACAAATAAAATTTTAACATGTAAGAGGCTGTTGTTGTTAGTTGCCATCCCATCAATTCTGATTCATGGCAACCCTGTGTGTGCAGAATAGAACTGCTCCATAAGGTTTTCAAGGCTGTGATCTTTTGGAAGTAGATTGCCAGGCCTGTCTTCCAACGTACCTCTGGGTGGGTTTGAAATGACAACCTTTTGGATAATGGTTGAACACTTAACCATTTGCACCACCTAGGGACTTCCAAAATATGAGATACACCGAAAACCCACTGTCATCAAATTGATTCCAACTCATAGTGACCCTACAGGAGAGATTAGAACTATCCTATAGGGTTTCCAAGGCTGTAAATCTTTACAGAAGCAGACTGCAACATCTTTCTCCCATGGAGTGGCTGGTGGGTCTGAATGTTTTAGTTAGCAGCTGAATGCCTTAACCACTGTGCCATCAGAGCTTCCTGAAGATGAGACAGACAAGTATAAAACATGAGATACCATAAAGCAGCATAATGGGATCTGAATGCTTATTAAAGATGTGTGACCCTATTTTAATAACTATAAATCGTAACTTACAGTTTCACGAGTAGCAATACTTATGAAAGTATGAGACAGAATATCTGAGCCTGGGACTATCTCAGCACTCCTGGATACAAGATTGCTTAGGTGTTAAATACTGAGCACTAAGAGGGCAACAGAAAGAATGATCATTACAACCTTCAGTTTTTGTGAAGTCTTCATTCTAGGGAGAATTGAGAGATAACTGTTTGGGTAGGCAGGGAAGAGGGAACTTGTGATCCTGGAGAAAGTGTGAGACACATAAGGAGATGAGAAGACCCATAGCAGAGTGTGGGGAAGACAATGAGGACCAGATGTTGGAAGGCCACACTAAAGCTTAGAGAAAATGAAAAGGCATTTCTTGGAAAAAGACTAATAAACTCCTATGTCAGCACTGAGAAATGACTGAAAATTTTGGAGTGGCACTTTATAAAGACTTATGTGGCACCAGTATAGGTTGAAGGCTAGTTAGAAGGTTATTACAACATTTTAGGCAACAATAAAGACTGAGCTACAGTATGAATGAAAATAAGATAAGGGAAATTTCAAGAGAAAAGCTATCAGAAAAGTACTGTTTTGGTGGGTAGAGGACAGATGATGAGTTCAATTCTAGACCTACTGATATTTAAGATAATGGCAGGACAGTCGTAGAGTTATCTAAGAGGCAACAGGAAGGGCATAACTGAATTGGCAGAGTGGGAGAGCAGGAGATGTTAGATCTGGAAAGCACATGCACAGAGACAGTATTTTAAGCTATGGCACTGCCAAAGCAGAGTGTGCAGACAGTAAGAGGCAGGAAATAGGTTGACAACAGAATCCCAGAGTAGGCAGAGAAATTTGGAGAAGGAAGACATGACAGGAGAGAACAGGGGTATTTGTTTCAGAAGGAGAGGTCATAAGCCAGTAGCTTCAAGAGCACAGTACAGAGAGCATGAGGATTCCAGAATAAAACTGGCAACTGGCTTCCATAGTGAATTTTAGGAGACTATGGCAGGAGTATGTTTTATACAGAGAAAAGATAGTGAAGACACAGAGGAACGAGTGACTAAAAGGCAGACTACAATCTGGTTTGGTGGTGATTGGAAGGAAGAAAATACTTACATGCAGGAAACAACCTCAGAAAGAAAACAGCACAGCTTCTAAGGAAGAAGGGAGAGAGGAAAGAATGCGTGAAGATCAAAGAGATTCCAAAGTGCAGTAGTCTAGGTTTTCAGTGAAATGGAATACAAGCTGAGATATGTGAAAGCAGACCTGTGATTGAGGAGCACAGGAAGTTTTTCATAATTAGTGCATTGAGATGTTTGATGGGAAATTAACTAGAGGTGAATATAAAGATAGAGGAAGCATACTCATGTCCAGGTGTGCTTATATTCATTGGCAGAGAGGACTTGCTCAAGAAACACTTGGAATGTTTCATAGAGAAAATAGATGGCAAGACTCACCAAATGGCCATAACAAGGCATGTATGGTAAAAGGGCACTGCAGTTAATGGATTTCAAGGGACTAATGGAGAATAATTGAAAATGCTACTTACAGGTTTTGGGTTTGGTTAAAAAAGATATGTGAGATTAGATGTTAGAGGTCAAGGAATTAGCGGTAAAAATGTAGCAAAATGCAGAGATAGTCAAAGTGAGGGAAGAGAATGGTTGGACAAGTAGGAGATAGTTATTAAATGGAGGAATAGGAGAGACTGAGATCTTAGTATGAGTGAGTTGGAGTTGAAGTGTAAGAGATATTTTGGGGGTAGGGCACCAGGAATGACAAAAAGATGGCTGTTGATGTCACTGAGGATTATGAGAGGAACAGAGGAAGGAGCCTGAGAGGCATATACTGAAGTCTTTGAAGATGGAGATGAATTAGAGGCAAATGGATGCAAGCGAATAGGTTATGTAATTACATGGCTTTATTTTACAAGTATATTTGTCTAATTTGAGAAGGATACTTGTCTGAATGTATGAACAGTTCTGATGTTTTAGTACCTCTTCAAAAGTCCTGAGATTTATAGATGGCACAATCACTTCCAATGTCCCACTCCATCCTTTGGAAGAAATAGACCATAGTGCTTTCTAAAAGTAATCCACTCAGGATGGCCAACAAGGACAGCTTCCGATTGATGTTCAGGGTCACTGGAAAAGAAAAGCCAACTAGTAAGTTTTTTAAGAGTTTAATTAAATGATACTGGCATGTAAACTATGTCATAGTACAAACTATTTTGTAAAGATGATTTGATTTAGAAAATATGTATTTGTTTTTAGTAATCTATGCTGTTACCTTCTCCCATTTTCCCATATGCAAACATTTTAAGAGCCAAAGCATCTGCTTATAACAAATACAATGAGCTGCTTTTCCTCAAATTAAGCAGATTCCTATCAATATTCAAGGAGAAAATAAAAAAACAGAGTCTACGGTTACAAAGAAAATAACAAAAAAATTGTATTTCTATCATCAGTTAGCAATATGGTAAGGATTATAATAAATATTATCAAGTAGCAGGCTCATTTAAGTTACTACTTCTCAATGTATGGGAAACACTGAGACATACAGAGCCACTTATTGCTTTCCTGGTATAGTAGGAACGGCACTGGAATGGAAGGCAGAATCCTGACATTCTGTCATGTTGTGACATCTGCCCAGCCATGTAACTTTGGACAAGTAACTTAATCTTCATAGCGCCATGGGCTCATTCACAAAATGCAAATAATTATGGATACTCACTAACTTCATGTGACAGAGAGAGTACATATGAAAGCATTTTGAAAACTATAAAGTATGATGTGGTTAAATTTAATAAATACTGAGTCCCTGATACATATAAAGCACTATACAGATGTCAAGTATTGATATTATCCTATGAAGAAGTCTACTGTTCAACAACTATATAAAAACTATGATCTAGAAACAAGGCTTTAAGCTTTTAATGAGTTGAAAGCTGAGAAGGCAGAATAAAAATATAAACATACCTCTAATGGCCTGAAAATTTGATGTAAGGACAAACACTTTAATAAGTTTGAGGCACAGAGGTGTGTAGTCATGTTCCCAAATGACAGCTGGAATGAGCAAGAGTTTTCCATAGCTAGATAATAATAATGCTTTCAGCAGTAAAATAAAGTTGGGCTTTTTTTTCGCTGTCATGGGTCGTTCGACCCACAGGAAAGTAAAAATGCCAATAAAAAAGGCAGTTTGTTCTAAGGAGGAAATGGAAAATAAAAACATGAATGTCCCCATCCAAACTATATTCCCCTAAAAACAAACCACAAATTCAAAAATGTTACTTATCTGCTGACTTCATAAGAAATGCTTTATCAAGATCAAATTTTCTTTTTTTTTTTTTTTTAAAAAGTACCCCTGGCTTTTATGCCCTGCTGGTATGGTATCAGAAACATTTTCCAACAATTCTTTCATGAAGTATTTCATCATCCATTGAAGAGAAAATAACTCCATTAGAGTTGTAATCAATAGCTTTTACAACTTCCTTCTAAGGAGTAAGATTCTGTTTAAACATCTTCAGTATATGAAGTCTCCACAGAAAGAATAACCAGGAGAATGGAAGTTTTAAGTCTGAAAGGTGGAACCCATTCTACAAATAACATATGAAGACATATTTCTTCATGCATTCTTCTATTATTTATTGAATGCTTACTATATACAAGATTTTGAATACTGTTACCAAAATCAAATGAAAAGATGCCATTAATTTATTTTAACACTATTTTTGAGTGCAATTCCTTATTCTTCCAGAGTGTACTAGGACAGAGTCTAGATCAGAAGAAAACAATAGTTCCATTGGTGTTCTATTGGCCAGAATATGGCACAATCTGTTATGTACTAGGAATGTAACTTTTCTTTTTTAACTGTACTATTATTATATTAGGCTTCTGAATCCTCTGACTACCCAGCTCTCTATATTATAAGTGCCTGTCCCTAATTCTAGGCGCTCTGGTGGTGTAGTGCCTAAAGCAGCTGACTGCTAACCAATAGGCTGACGGTTCAAACCCACCAGCCACTCTTCAGAAGGAAGGTTGGGCAATCTACTTCCTCAGTGATACTGCCTCAGAAAGCCAAGAAGGGGTCACTATAAGTCGGATCCAACTTGGTGGCAGTGAATTCCTAATTCTACTTGTTATTTATAGTTTAGGTTTCTACAGAATCAGGTTTTCAGGAACACATATATCACATTATAGCAAAAACAACTGTATTCTCCTTAACATGTCTCTGAACAGGGCCAGACTAATGAGGTTCCAAACATAGGTGCCCAGGACCAACAGAAATATTTTAGAATGGTTAGCCTGTATAGAATTCACCATACTCTTCAGAGAGACATATCATCTCCTTTCAAAATAACTGAAGAAAGGACTGTTAATTGTGAGGATCAGCTCAAACAAGATATCAAAGGTTGGGTTTGGATCCAGAAAAAATAAAGAACTCCTTAGCAACAAGAACCAACTAATAATGGTAGGTTATCTCCTGTCCCTGGGGATAATGAAACAAAGCTAGACAATCTTTCAGACATCTATAGGGTTCCTTGCACTGGACGGAAGTTTGGACCTAATAACCTCTTATGCTTTTTCTTAGAATTTCTGAAACTGCCCTTGGACCTGGGACACTGCAAAATCCCATCAAACGTCAAATATTGCTGAGCTTCTGTTCCTGAAGGCCTTTTTCAATAAGGTCAGCTCAGTAGGAGTTGTTTCCTATCTACAGAATGCTACATACTGGGAGTCAAGAGATCTTTCCTCACATCTCAGTGCTGACATTAATTAGCTGGGGGAATTTGGGAAAATCATACATCTGTTTTCCATAGCTGTAGATGGGGGAGAACATCTAACTGACCTACCTACCTCAGAGGATGGTTGTGATAATTACATTAGATCATACACGTAAAAGTAATTTTTAAATGATAAAATGCTATATTTATATAAGACAGTCTCATTAAACTCCTTTGGGGCTAATAATCTAATTAGGGAGTTAAGACACAAAATAAGTAATAGTACAAAAAATTGATGGTTAAGTATTAAAATGTCTATTACAGAGTAGGTGCTACAGGAATTGCAAGCTATTTGAAAATAAGCCTTTTTTTGGTATTAGACAGAAATTATGGACATAAAGCAGTTTATCTTTAGAAATTGCAAGAGGCTTTGCTTTAAAGCTTAAAAATGAACAGCAGCAGCTCATACATGTTTTGTTTCATGACACTGATTGCAATCCCCATAATGTTCTTGGTTAAGTGATAGGTTCATGGATCTTTTTAATATTGTTAGGGCTTTATAGTATTTCAATGTTAATATTCTTTTGTATGTTTCAAATATTATTATTTAAAAGATAGTAAACATGTTCCTCCGGCAAAGCAGATGGTAGGTTTACACTGACCTTTTGGTCAACAGCTGAGCACTTAACCACTCTGCCACCAGGGCTCAAAGAAATATTCACAGTTAAGTGTTTTTAAATTGTGGCAGCTGAATCTAAATTATGTCTAATTACCAACAGAACAGATATCATGGGCATAAATTATCATAAGCACCGTAATTAAATCATGATTGATTTCTGACTGTAAGTTCCAAGGTGACAGAGAGTTTTCCATTTTTACATATATTTCATGGATATATGCCTAAAGTGCCTGACACATAACAGGTACTTAATAAATACTTACGTGAAAGAGATAACATCATTGAATCTAACTGGTGGTGATCTGCCTCAGATTAGAATACATGCACGCATGCATGCATGTATATATGCATTCATTCATTCCATTTATTCAACAAGAATTTATTAGGCACTTAAGCACTTGGCTGCTACTAACCGAAAGGTAGGTGGTTCGAACCCACCAGTGGCTCCACAGAAGAAAAGACCTGGCGAGCTATTCTTGTAAAGATTATAGCCTAGGAATCCCTATGGGGCAGTTCCACTTGGTCTTACAGGGTCACTGCGGTGTAGTAAATTACCTGGTATGGCTTTTCTAGCCATAAATTTTTGTAAACGCAGTGGTGGAATTTGCCATGAGCAACAGAGGAGCTCCTAATGGTAAATGTTATCCACCTGGGGTATTTCTGTTGAGAGTGGCACAAAGCAATGTTCTGGGAAGTTCGCTCACTCTCAGGTGCTTAGAATTCTGATGTTATGATTGGTTAGTTTGGCTACTCTGCCAGGCTCAAAAGGAGGTCTCCTAGAGGCAGAAGAAGTCTTTCTGACTGCTGGCTGAGAAAGACGTACTGCTGAGAGAAACACACTCCTGAGAGACACACGCTCCTGAGAAAGAGACACTGAGAGATGTATTGCTGAGTGAGATACCGAGAGACACGCATTGTTGGAAGAGTGGCTGAGAGAGACTGTTGGCTGAGAGATGGCGGGCTGAGAGAGACTGGGTGTTTTTCTTGAACTTGAATTGTAGCCTGGTGCTTCCCTAATAAACCCCATAATCTGTGAGTTCTGTGTGGTCACTGTAGTGAATTATTGAACCCAGCAGAGAGGTAGGGTGATGTGAGAGGAATGGTCACTATGAGTCAGACTCAGGAGGAAGACTGGGCAATCTACTTCTGTAGTGATACCACCTTGGAAACCCAAGGAGGGATTGCTATGAGGTGGATGCGGCTCAACAGTAGTGAGTTTGGTTTTTGTTTTTGTATGAGTCAGAAATGATTTGCCAGCACATGATTTCATGGCAGGTGCTTTATTGGTGAACTACATCAAAACAAAGACTGCTGCCTTTATTCAGCTTATGTATTAGTGGAGGATGGCAGATAGTAAAAAATAAGTAACTTTTATGATATTTTAGATGATAAGTACTGTAAGAAAAAAAAAAAGGAGAATAGGAATGGGAGAACAAAAGTATCAGAGGGGAGGTGGTAGGTTACAATTTTAAACAGAGTCCATCAGGAAAGGCTTCACTGAGAAGATGACATTTAAGCAAGAAAGTTGAGGGATGTCAGGGAGTCATACACGTGGATGCCAGGGGATGAGTGTTGCAGACTGAGCAAACAGGCAGTGCAAAGGCCTTCAGGTAAAAACCTGTCCAGTGTGTTTGAAGATAAGCAAGTAAAGTATAGACTGGGTCAGAGGAGAGATGGGAGATGGTGGAAAAAGGTAAAACTAGGTTTTTAGCTTTGACTCTGAGAAAAATAGGGAATTTTTTTTTGAAGGTGTAATTTGGGTAAAAATTTATAGAGCAAATTCATTTCTATACAACAACAGTTCATACACATTTTGTTTCATGACATTGATTGCAAACCCCATAATGTAACAGTTCTTACCATTTCCTCTCTGTGGCTACCTTTTCCCTGTGTCCTTTCCTATGCATTCCTGCCCTCTGAGCTATCACACAGGAGTCATATGATCTGACTTATTTGACAAGGTTGCTTTATGTTGCAAATAGACTGCTGGGAAACTAAACATGGAGGCTACTGTAGTTATTTACTTGAGAGATGATGGTAGCTTGCATCCAGGCAGTAGCACAGAGGGGATGAAAAGTAGAAGAAATATTTTGAAGGTGGAGCCAATAGTATTTCCTGATGATCCAACTATAGGGAATCAAGGAAGATTATAAGGTACAACTGAAAAAATGGAGTTACCTGTAACTGAAATGGGGAATGCTGTAGATAGAACAGATTTGGAACTGGGGGGGAGGGGTTGGTGGAGGCAGGGCGATTGGGAGCTTGGTTTTGGATATGATAATTTCTTATCCAAGTGCAGTTGTTGAGAAGGCAGACGGATATAAGGTCTGGAGCTCAGGACAAAGGTCTGGATTGTTGTTGTTAAGTGCCGTCAAGTTGGACCTGACTCATAGCGACGCCTCCTTGGATTTCCCTTGGATTTCCGAGGCGCTATCACTCTGGTAGCATAGTGCCTAAGGCACTTGACTGCTAACCAGAAGGCTGGCAATTCAAACCCACCAGCCACTCCTCGGAAGGAAGGTTGGGCAATCCTACTTCCGTAGTGATACTGCCTCGGAAACCCAAGGAGGGGTCGCTATGAGTCGGGGCCGACTCCACGGCAAACAACAACAACAACAACAACATCACTACAAAAGTAGATTGCCCAACCTTCCTTCCTAAGAGTGACGGGTGGGTTTGAATCGCCAGTCTTCTGGTTAGCAGTCAAGTGCGTTAGGCACTACGCTGAGTTCTCAGCATACAGGTGAATTTTAAAATCATGGGACTGAAAGAGATGGTTAAGGGAGTGAGGTTAGAGAGAGGAGAAAAGGAGACATATTATCCAGAAATAATGACAATGGAGTGGGTTAGAGTCTTTATATTAATAAATACTTCAGTATAATCTAAGAATTTAGAGGAAGAGAAGTATGGAAACTAGTAAGTAATAAAATAGTCACAGAAATTAATCTAACACAATTCTGACCTTAAGAAAATAATAACCTAAACTCAAACTCTGAAGAAAAGCAATTTGTGAACTTAAGAAATTTGTAGGGAGTAGCTAATTTCCCCAAATGCAGTCAGATTAAAGTAACACCTTTTCTCTGTTATATACACTGCAATAGCTTAGTAACTGGCTAACATCTGGCAATTATCAATCTGTTTTAATGAAGATGGGTCCTCAAACTCAAAATCAACATATTGCCATCGATTTGATTCCATCCAACTCAATGCAACCCCAGGAGCTCTGGTAGCATAGTGCCTAAAGCATTTGACTGTTAACCAGAAGGCTGGCAGTTCGAACCCACCAGTCACTCCTTGGAAAGAAGGTTCGGCAATCTACTTCTATAGTGATACTGCCTTGGCAACCCAAGAAGGGGTCACTATGAGTTGGGTCCGATTCGACAGCACATAACAACAACAACAACACAGCAACCCCCACTGGGTTTCTGAGGCTGTAAATCTTACTACAGAAGTAGATTGCCCGATCTTCTTTCTGAGGAGTGGCTAGTGGGTTTGAACTGCCAGCCTTCTGGTTAGCAGTCAAATGCCTTAGTCACTACGCTACCAGAGCTCCTAATGAAATAGTCACAGAAATTAATCTAACACAATTCTGACCCTAGGAAAATAACGACCCAAACTCAAACTCTGAAGAAAAGCAATTTCTGAACTTAAGAAATTTGTGGGGAGTAGCTAATTTCCCCAAATGGAGTCAGAATAAGTAATACCTTTTCTCTGTTACATACACTGCAATAGCTTAGTAACTGACTAAAATCTGGCAATTATCAATCTGTTTTAATAAAGATGAGTCCCCAAACTCAAAACCAAACTCACTGTCATCAAGTTGATTCCAACTCACAGGGACCCTCACTGGGTTTCTGAGGCTGTAAATCTTTATGGAAGTAGATTGCCCCATGTTCCTTCCATGGAGTGGCTGGTGGGTTTGAACCACTGACCTTCTGGTTAGCAGCCAAATGCCTTATGCATTATACCACCAGAGCTCCTTAAGATGGGTCCTAAACCAAAACAAAACCCACTGCCACTGAGTCGATTCCGACTCACAGCAACCCCCATTTGGGTTTCCAAGGCTGTAAATCTTTACAGAAGTAGACTGTGTCATCTTCCTTCTGCAGAGCAGCAGTTGGTGCATTTGAACCACCAACTATCTGGTTGGCAGTCAAATGCCTTAGGCACTGCACTACCAGAGCTCCTTAAGATGGGTTCTAAGTAATTTCAAATTGGATAGTCAGAACTTATTAAAACAAAAAAAAGTTATCAACGATATTATGTCCCAAAATATTTCATGGGACTTTCTAATCTGATAAATATATCCGAGTCCCTGAGTGGCACAAACAGTTGAACATTCAGCTGCTAAATGAAAGGTTGGAAGTTTAAATCCATGCAGAAACATCAAGAAAGACCTGGTGATATATGTTCAAAAGGTCACAGCCATTGAAAAGCCTATTCACACACATGAGGTGACCGTAAGTCAGAATCAACTTGACAGCAATGGTTCTGATATTTCCCTCCCACATTGTATGTATGGTAACAAACAGAAAAGTAAGAAAGCAGGTGATTAGAAAAACTAACCCAGAAGGTTAGCTGTCAAACTGAAAATTTAGTCTCAAGACCTATAGTCACTAGCTCCCCTTAGCAGTTATTAAGACCACATGTCTTACTTTTAATCAGAATAGTAAACTAATTAAATAAGAACAGAAAGTAAGGCTTTTTCTTACCTAAAGAAGCAATTGCAAACATTCTATAAAAATCCCACTCCTTAGCATATCTAATCAAGTCATCAGGGTCAGTGTTCTGGTTTGAATCCTGAAGCTGCCACCATCTCAGGTATGCCTCACAAAGCAAACAAAATATGCAGAGTTTTCCATGGATCTGATAAACAAAAAGATGTCACCATTCCGTTAGGTAGAGAAAAACTTTAGCTATGTTTGTGCCTATAAATATTAAGTATATGTAAGGTTTTTTTTAAAATTGTGGTTTGCGTGAAGTTTACAGAGCAAATTTTCCATTCAACAGTTCATATACATTTTGTTTCACGACTCTAATTGTAATCCCCATAATGTAATAGCTCTCTTCCTATTCCTCTCTGTGGTTACCTTTCCCTGTGTCCTTCTTTCCTATGCATTCCTGCCCTATGAGTTAACCAGAAGGCTGGCGGTTCAAACCCACCTTATGGGAAACCCAAGGAGGTTGCTATGAGTCGGATCTGACTTGATGGCAGTGAATTTGGTTTTTTTGGTTTTAATCTCCCATGACTGACTGTTCAAAGGAGTGTACCTACCTGGTGTAAATGTTTACCTCATACACCTATCTAAAGGCGCTCTGGTGGTGTAGTGTCTAAGGCACTGTTAACCAGAAGGTTGGTGGTTCAAACCCACCAGCCACTCTGTGGAAGGAAGGCTGGGCAATCTAATTCCATAAGGATTTACCACCTCAGAAATACAAAGTGGGTTGCTATAAGTTGGAATCGACGCGATGGCAGTGAGTTTGGTTTGAGTGTGGTTGGAGGCCACAGAAGTGAGTCCAAATTTAGGCCTCAAAGGTGAATAGGGGAAGAGGTTTTACCAGTCCCTATCAGATCAGTAGCTCTGGTAGCATAGTGCCTAAGGCACTTGACTGCTCACCAGAAGGCTGGCGGTTCAAACCCACCAGCCACTCCTCGGAAAGAAGGTTGGGCAATCTACTTCTGTAGTGATACTGCCTCGGAAACCCAAGGAGGAGTCGCTATGAGTTGGGGCCGACTCGACGGCAAACAACACCACAACATCAGATCAGTAAGCCTGGTCTTCTTTATGATCGTGAGTTTTATTACATTTTTCTCCCACTCCTTCCAGGACCTCCTATACTGATCCCTTTCCGAGTGGCTGACGATGGTAGCTGGGCACCATCTAGTTCTTCCAGTCTCAGGGTCATGTAGGCCGAAGTTACCATGGTCTACTAGGCCCCTGGAGTAATTGTTTCCATGTGTTTTTTATTTTCTTCATTCTTCTTTACTCCAATGAGGAGAGGCCAATTGTTGCATCTTAGATGGCTACTTGTAAGCTTTTAAGACCCCAGCTGCTACTCCCCAAAATGGGATGTAGAACAATGTTTTGTATAGTACATCATGTCAACTGAGCTCGATGTCAACTGAGCTCGATGTCCCCTGAGATCATGGTCTTGAGCCTTCAGGCCCAGCGACTCACTCCCTCTCAAGGTGTTTGGCTGTGGCTAAGAAGTTATCCTAACTTTGCCCAGTTAGCTCTATTATACATAGATAGACAGATAGATAGATAGATATCCTTATAGCCCATACAAATATATATGCAAAAATATTGCCTGCCAAACTTATATATGGTCATGGATATGTTCCCTTTTGCCTAGCCATACCTGATCATTTAGCCTGTCTACCTATGTATCCCTACCACTCATCTGTTAGTTTGTTGTACTACAGTGGCTTGTGTTGCTGTAAGGCTGAAGGCTATGCCGCCAAGTCAGATCTGACTCATAGAGACCCCTCCTGGGGTTTCCGAGGCAGTATCACTACGGAAGTAGATTGCCCCACCTTCCTTCTGAGAAGTGGCTGGTGGGTTTGAACCACCAGCCTTCTGGTTAGTAGTCAGATGCCTTAGGCACTATGCCACCAGAGATCCCTTCAAATACCAAAAGGGTCACCAATGCTGTGTGACCCTTTTCAAATACCAAAAGGGTCACCAATGCTTACTTTCCAAACTAAGACAGACTAAGAAGGACAGTGGCATCTGCTTCTGAAAAAAGTAGGCAGTGAAAATCTTGTAAACAGCAGTGAAAACACTGTCCCATTTATTACTGGAAAACTTAATGAATAGCCCTAAAATATTTTCTGATATAGTGCTTAAAGATGAGTCACTCAGGCTGGGAAGTACTGAACATATGACTGGGGAAGGGCTGCCTCTTCAGAGTAAAGTCAACCTTAAGGATGTGGATGGACTAAAACTTTTGGGACCTTCATTTGCTGATGGGGCATGACTCAAAATGGGAAGAAACGGCTCTAAACATTCATTAATTGTTGGAACGTGGAATGTACAAAGTATAAATTTCAGAAAAATAGGAAGTTATCAAAAATGAAACGGAAGCAAACAGATTAATAGCCTAGGAATTAATGAGCTGAAATGGACTGGTTTTAGCCATTATCAATCAGACAATCATATGATTTGCTATGCCAGGAATGACAAATTGAAGAAGAATGCTGTCACATTCATTGTCAAAAAAATGTTGCAAGATCTATCCTGAAAAGAGAACAATCATGGGAGAAAGAAGGGCTGCTTATGCACAGGGATACAGCTCAGGGGACAGAAGCCCATGGAGGATGGACACTGGGAAGAGGTAACTGTGGGGAGGAGGTGGGAGGAGAGCTGTTGCATTGTGATAAACTGTGGTCAATGTCATGAGACAAGGTGTATGTGATCTGCTGTATGGAAAGTGAATTTGCCCTGTAAACCTTCACCCAAATCACAATAAAAATAAAAATAAAGAAAAAGATGTATCCTGAAGTACAATGCTGTCAGTGATAGGATAATACATCTACAAGGAAACCCAATTAATACTATTATTTTTCAAATTTATGCAACAACCACTAAAGCCAAAGATGAAGATATCAAAGATTTTTTGCCAACTTCTGCAGTCTGAAATTTATCAAACATGCAATCAAGATATATTGATTATTTCTAGTGATTGGAATGCAAAAATAGGAAACAAACAAGGATCACCAGTAGTTGCAAAATATGGTTTTGGTGATACAAATGTGCTGGAGATCACATGACAGAATTTTGCTAGACCAAAGGTATCATTGCAAATACCTTTTTTTCAACAACATAAACAGTGGCTCAACATGTGGACTTTATCACATGGAATACACAGGAATCAGATCGACTACATCTGTGGAAAGAGGCAATGGAGAAGAAGCTCAATATCTTTAAGCCAAAACAAGGCCAGGAACTGACCGTAGATCAGACCATCACTGAACCTAAAAAAAATTAAAACAAGTTCACAAGAGCAAAAATATGACCTCGATGACATTCAACCTAAATTTAGAGACCATATAAAGAACAGATTTGATGTACTGAACACCAGTGACTGCCGATCAGATGAGTTGTGGGGTGACATCAACAACATTATACAGGGTCATTAAAAAGACAGTAAAGGCAATGAAGACCAAAATGGATGTCAGAAGGGACTCTGAAACTTGCTCTTGAATGGAGAGTAACTAAAGCAAATGGAAGAAATGACAAGATAAAAGAGCTGAACAAAAGATTTCAAAGAGCAGCTCGAGAAGACAAAGTCAATTATTTTAATGAAATGTGCAAAGACCTGGAGTTAGAAAACCAAAAGGGAAGAACATGTTTTGTATTTCTCAAGTTGAAAGAACTAAAGAAAAAAAATTCAAGCCCTGAGTTGCAATATTGAAGGATTCTATGGGCAAAATATTGAATGATACACAAAGCATCAAAAGAAGATGGAAGGAATATATAGAGTCACTATACCAAAAAGAATTTGTTGATGTTCAACTATTTCAGGAGGCAGCATATGATCAAGAACCAATGGTACTGAAGGAATAAGTCCAAGCTGCACTGAAGGAAATTGGCAAAAAAAAAAAAAAAAAGCCTCCATGAATTGACAGAATAACCATTGAGATGTTTCAACAAATGGACACAGCGCTGGAGGTACCTAGTCATTTATGCCAAGAAATTTTAGAAGACAGCTACCTTGCTAACTGACTGGAAGAGATCAATGTTTGTGCCCATTCCAAAGGAAGGTAATCTAACAGAATGTGGAAATATTGAACAATATCATTAATATCACACACAAGTAAAATTTTGCTGAAGATAATTGAAAAATGGTTGCAGCAGTATATTGACAGGGAACTTTCCAGAAATTCGAGCTGGATTCAGAAGAGGACATGAACGACAGGTATCACTGGTGATGTCAGACGGATCTTGGCTGAAAGCAGAGAATACCAGAAAGATGTTTACCTGTTTTACTGACTATGCAAAAGTATTTGACTGTATAGATCATAAGAAATTATAGGTTAACACTGCCAAAAATGGGAATTCCAGAACTCAAGTGCTCATGAGGAGCCTGTACACAGAGCAAGAGCCTGCACATAGAGCAAGAGGCTGTCATTTGAACAGGAATCAGATCGACTACATCAGTGGAAAGAGGCAAGAGAAGCTCAATATCTTCAGCGAAAAGAAGGCCAGGAGTTGACATGGATCAGACCATCACTGAAGCTGGAAAAAATGAAAACAAGTCCACAAGAGGGTTTCAGGATTGTATCCTTTCACCATACTTATTCAACCTGTATGCTAAGTAAATAATCTGAAAAGCTGGACTATATGAAGAAGAATGTGGCATCAGGACTGGAGAAGAACTCATTAACAACCTACAAGATGCAGATGACACAACCTTGCTTGCTGCAAGTGAGGAAGACTTGACACACTTAATGATGAAGACTGAAGACTACAGTCTGCAGTATGGATTACACATCAATATAAAGAAAACAAAAATCCTTGCAACTGGACCAATAAGCAGCATCACGACAAATGGAGAAAAGACTGAAGTTGTCAAAGACTTCATATTACTTGGTTCTATAATCAACACCAATGGAAGCTGCAGTCAAGACATCAGATGACATTCTACATTGGGTAACTGCTGCAACAGAATTCTTTCAAGTGATGAAGAGCAAAGATGTCTCCTTGAAGACTAAGATATGCCTAACCCAAGCCATGTTATTCTCATCGCCTCATATGCATGTAAAAGCTGGACAATGAATAAGGAAGACCGAAGAACAGTTGATGTTTTTGAATTGTGGTGTTGGCGAAGAATGCTGAAAGTACCATGGACTGCTAAAAGGACTAACAAATTTGTCTTGGAAGAAATGCGACCAGAAGGCTCCTTGGAAGTGAGAATGGCCAGGCTCTGTCTCACCTACTTTGGTCATGTTGTCAGAAGGAACCATTCTCTGAAGAAGGATATCAAGCTTGGTAAAGTGGAGGGTCAACAAAAAAGGGGGAAGATGGATTGACACAGTGGCTGCAACAATGGGCTCAGGTATAGCAAGGACTGTGAAGCTGGCACATTACAGGGCAGTGTTGCTTTCTGTTGTACATAGGGTCATTATGAGTCAGAGATGGCTCAACGGCACCTAACAACAACCAACAACAACTTTGGTTATGTTGTTAGAAGGGACTATTCCCTGGAGAAGGATATCATGCTTGGTAAAATAAAGTGTCAGCAAAATATGGAAGACCCTCAACAAGATGGAATGACACAGTAGCTATAATGAGGGGCTCAAGTAGCAAGTGAGGATATCACAAGACTAGGCCATGTTTTGTTTTGCTTTATGTAGGGGTGCTAAGAGAGCTGACTCGATGGCGCCTAACAACAACATAACAACCTATGTATCCACTCATAGATTAATGTTTGTTTTTACTGATAATGCAGTATTGTGTATGTAGAAGTGTTTACCTTTGTTGTCTGTACCTCTTATGTACCTCTCCATGTCTTCCTTTTCCTTAGTGTCATTGTGCTGTTCACTCACTTGGTATAATGCCTTCCCCTTCATCGAAATCAGTACTTGTGTCCAGCAATTTTCCCTCCCTAAGTATTTATGGTTCTAAAGAACATGTCCTCATTACTACAAAATTAAGCACCTACTGCATTCATTCTGTAAATCAGTGGTTCCAAATCAGCAATACTGAGGAAATTACTCAGAAGAGATTTTTCAAAATATAACTGTCTAGACCCCATAGCCCAAATTCAGACCCTTGTTCAGAATCTTTGGGATTAAGGTCTAGACATGCATATTTTGGGACAGTTCCTGAGGGATTCTACTGTGCACCCGAATTAAGAATTACTGCTTTATAGTTCATTTATCATTTGTATTTTCAACATATGTCTTATACACAGAATTAAAGCACATAATTTATGAGACTCACGTATGGGTAGAAGCCACAGTAAGAACAGATTTAATCTGGAAATCCCATGATATTTCATAGAAAACTATTAAGTCTGACCATAAATTATGCAGGGGGTGGGGGAGGAAACCAAACCACACCTCTGGGCTAGATGAGTATAAATGATATACAGGTAGTCCTCGGCTTATGACAGGGTTGCATTCCAATAACTCTTGTAAATTGGTTCTGACATAAGTCAGATACTTTTTCTGTTTGCCTTTTATTAATTCTATCTTTATAAATCTGATCTTTATTTGTTGTTATCAGTGCCATAACAATGAAGTTGGAGTTTTAACAGCTGTTGGGCACATATGCAGTTCAACTGTCTTATGTTGTTAAAAGTTGAACATTGCCCAACTTTCTATCTGTTACAACTCCCTACACCAGCACTGAGAAGAGACTTCATTGTAGAACAATCTGTAGGCTGTTACACAGCAGTATTTTGATCAGTAATCATGACACTGAGCATCTGTAAGCGAACATGTGAGAAAGATAACATCAGCAAATTATATATCGTAACACTGTACGTGGTCAGTATTACTAACAATGTTACACACACAAAAAAGGATGGCCAGTTCATCCTAACTAAAAACGTTGTAAGTTGAGGACTGCCTGTATTGAAAACTGATGCCAAATAAGGTGGAAGTTATAAAGTGTGAAATGTGGCTAAATTAAAAAATACTAGTAAAAAAAAGTCCAGCTTTTTTTTCCCTTTGTATTTCTCCCAGGGATTGAATTTTCTGCCAGTATAAAGTAGAAAGGAAGCAGGTGTGCAAAACTGATATAGCCCAGAGCTATCAGTCTAAGACTTCTGAGGCTCTCCTGGTTGGCACACTGGTTCTTGTGGCTGGACACTGGAATTACCTAGCAAGTTTTAAAAAATACTGATGTTTTGGATGATGGGAACCAATTCTACGCCCAAAGATTCTGATTTAATTGGCTGTGGGTGAGACCTACATCTGGGAGTTTTAAAAGGCCCCAGGTGATTCTAAGGTGCAGCAACACTTTCGAATCAATGTTGCAAAAATTTAAAAACTGCTTTGGTTAGTCAATGGAAAAGGGAGAAAAAGAATAAATAAATTGCATTGCCATTGTCCATGTTAGTCCAAACTTAGGAATGGCAGATTTAAGAGATAAAAATATAGAACACCCAGTTAAATTTGAATTTCATATTAAAAATAAAATAATTTTTTAGTTTAAATATGTTCCATGCAATATTTGTTGTTGTTGTTTTGCCGTCGAGTCGGCCCTGACTCATAGCGACCCCTCCTTGGGTTTCCGAGGCAGTTATCACTACGGAAGTAGGATTGCCCAACCTTCCTTCCGAGGAGTGGCTGGTGGGTTTGAACTGCCAGCCTTCTGGTTAGCAGTCAAGTGCCTTAGGCACTATGCTACCAGAGCAATATTTGGGATATATTAAAAACTTATTTGTTGTTCATCTAATTTTCAAACTTAAATAAATGTTCTATATTTGTCAACCCTACCCAAACCATTAGAATTCAAACTTCAACATACTAAACGTATATTTTGAAAAATTCAACTTTATATATAGAATTTTTCAGATTAAGCTCAATGCTGTGTTTCATTTCATACCTTCCCTCAAAAGCAAAGTGTAAAATGCAATAAATTACATTTAAAAATATTTGTCATTTAATATTTGCTTACTTCTTTTAAGTATAATCCTTTCTTGGATATGGATATATACATATCCTTACTTAGGTATGTTTAGTTTTATTCTGTTCAAAATAACTGGTGTCCGTTTCAAAAGGTACCCTACTAAAAGGCAACATAGATTATAGTTTGCCAGTTTCTTACCAGCCACCACATTCTTAAATATTCACTAAACACTGTATACCTTTTTTTTCAGTCAACACCTGATATTTCTAGAAACTTCAGATATGTTGAGCTAAAAGATCCACTCTCAAGTTATAATTTCTTTTTAAAAATAATATTCTTTAATTCTGCTCAAAATCATTATTATCCTCTTAAAATGGAAATGCATCATCAAGTAAAATTAAAAAACAGAAAATTCTCACAACTTACATTTATTTTAGTATTGAAAAGAATGTGCCTGTAGGCCTGGGCTTTGCATAAAATAGCATTAATTAAGATGATAACAGGATCATATTCAATATATTTGTCTACAGGTTTCTGGCAGGATTTCTGAAATAATGCAAAAATAATATTAGAACAAGCAAATTCATACATTCTGAAATCAAGTACTTTAAAACAGCGGAGTCTATTTTGGACTTAAAAAAATAAAGCCAAATCAGCATTTATATAAATAAACCTCCATTCAAATACTACACTTTCGTTTATTAAGAAGTATTTTCAGAAATCACTATTTATAATCTTATTTATAATCTTATTTATAATCTTCTAGACCAGATATATTAGTATTTTAACTTCACATTAAAGAAACTAAAGAGAAATTTGATTTAAAAACTAGTTTTAAGCAGGAAAGTTTCCCAGAAGACTCTACTTTCAATTTGTAAGAATTCTTATAAAATAAATAAATTTGTAATGCACTTTTATCAGTGAATTGTTGTCTGCTGGCTAGATGGCACCCAACTTTGTGGTTCATGAAACAGCATTTGGAGAAAAGTATATAGAAATGTTACCCTGCATGAGAGCTTCTGAGAATAAGCTACAAGTAGATAAGGAATGTGGTAGAGTACCAACAATCCTGGCATGGTAAATATTGGGGGACACAGTTTTCTCTCCAATAACATTAAGACTATGGAGACACTGGAGAATGCTGGGCTGGGTGTAAGTAATTAGGTTGTGTAGCCTGGTTCTAGGTTACCAAAAGCAAGGCCCCTGTGGCTATCAGCAATTCCTATTAAAATGGCACACACACACCCTCCCAATTTAGAGCACAGGTCTGTAGACATAGCTGATTTACAAACTCATCACCATTAGAACACATAAAATGCCCTATACAAGAACAAAGGTACAAATAGTTAAGACCTCAGCTGCTAACTAAAAGGTTAATGGTTTAAACACACCCAAATGGTGGGTTTACTGGAGAAAGATCTAGAGATCTGTTTTCATAAAGACTAAAACCAAACTCACTGCTGTCCAGTGGGATTCAACTCAGGCTACCCCTCCTTGGGTTTCCAAGGAGGCATCACTACTAAAGTAGACTGCCCAACCTTTCTTCTGAGGAGTGGCCAAGAAGACCCTAGGGACACTTCTACTGTGTCACCTGGGGACACTATGAATTGAAATCAACCAGATAGGCACCTAACAGTAACATACAAGAACAAGCTCACTAGAAATGTGGCATTTGAAACAATATTATTTATTTCAAGCCTACTACTTCACAGCACAAAACTCAGTGGCTACAATTCAAACACAAAGCATCTTGAAACTCTGAAAGGATAAAATAGAAGAAGTGATGGGTGTGCAAACATACTAGGATGGTCTTTTAATGACATCAAGAAGTGAAATGCACTGAAGAATATTAACCCTAATATGCAAAAACGCAACCACTGCCATGGAGTCAGATCTGACTCATAGCAACCCCTCCTTAGCTTTCCGAACAGTATCACTACGGAAGTAGATTGCCCAATCTTCCTTCCGAGGAGTGGCTGGTGGGTTTGAACCACCAGCCTTCTGGTTAGCAGTCAAATGCCTTAGGTACTACGCCACCAGAGCTCCCATTAACCCTTTACTTCAAACGTATTACACTAGATTCACTCCTGATTTAGAGAGTTTCGGCACTTGGTGTATGCCATTAAAACACATGTTTTTCATTACAAGATACGTTTTTCTAGTCATCAAGTGAACCAAAGAAAAGAGGTATGCTGTTACTTCAATGTAGATCTAAGGAGTTCTGGTGGTGCAGTGGTTAAGGCATTTGGATACTAACCAAAAGGTCAGTGGTTCGAACTAATCAGCTGCTCTGCAAGAGAAAGATGAAGTAGTCCGCTTCTGCAAAGATTTACAGCCTTGGAAACCGTACAGTGTACTATAGGGTTGCTAGGAGTCAGAATCAACCTGACAGCAGTGGGGTTTTCTTTTTTAATAAAATGGAGGCATAAAGAGTTTTGAAGGTGCTTACCAGGGCAAAGAATAAACCAGAGTCTAAACAGAAGTTACTAAATGTGATAGTTGGAGCTGTGTGTCAACTTGGCTGAACCCCAGTTCTGTGTGGTTGTTCCCATGATGGGATCAGATGACTGAGTTCTGAGTGGCCAGTCTGCCCAAGGGGAGTTTCCCTAGGGGTGTGGCCTGCTTGCAATGATATACAAGGCAATCTGGAAGAACGGCATTCCTTAAGGAATTGGAACCCTGGTGTGCTAACAACAGACTTCCTGGAGATCTCGGATTCATCTTTTGTTGGAATCAACAACCATTATACTGCATGCCAGCTTGAATCTCTCGGCTCCCCTGTGCTTGCGGAAGCCAAGGCGGCCGCAAGCCCCATCTCCTCCAGAGACGGACTTTTCAGCTTGGACTTGTCGGCTTCTATAAGCTTGTGAGCCATTTACCTAAGATAAATCTCTCTCTCTCTCTCTCCATATATATATATACTTTGCTGGTTTTTTGTGTTTCTCTAGAGAACCCAATCTAACACACTAAATAAATAATTACAACTCAAACCTCAAACTCACTGCCATCGAGTCCATTCCAACTCATACGAACCCTCATTGGGTTTCTGAGGCGGTAAGTCTTTATGGAAGTAGACTGCCCTATCTACCTTCCACAGAGTGGCTGGTGGGTTTGAATCATCAACTATATAGGTAGCAGTCAAATGCCTCAGGCACTGTACCACCGGAGCTCCTTAAACAGAAGCTATAGAATCAGAAATTCTATATTCATGATAAATAGCTGTTTCATAGAGCCCCTAGCTGTGCTACTCAGATGAAAAATACTTCCTCTCTTTACACATTCAATATTGGAAGACCTAAGGTGCTACTTCGGGAGCTCTGGCAGCACAGTGCCTAAGGCACTTGATTGCTAACCAGATGGCTGGTGTTTCAAACCCACCAGCCACTCCTCAGAAGGAAGGTTGGGCAATCTACTTCTGTAGTGATACTGCCTTGGAAACCCAAAGAGGGGTCACTATGAGTCGGGCCCGACTTGACAGCAAACAACAACGAGGTGCTACTTCAATTTTAAATAAAACCACAGGCTAAGAAGTCAAGAATTCTCTCTATGTCCTTTAAAAGTTCTCTAAAACCCATCTTCAGACAGCATCACAAGCCTGAGAATGACTGTTGAGACAATTTTTAGAAGGAGGTAGGCAAAAATGAGCACCTGGAAACAAAGTAGTTCAGTTACTCCTTTTGCATTAATTTGCTTGACAAATGCTTTTGGAGTGGCTATTACATTCACAATAACTTCCTTTACGTAGTCATTTCTATAGACCAGGCACTTCCAAAGTGCTAGATATTAACCTTGAGACATAAGTCTCTATCCTCAAGGACCTTGCAGTCCTCAGAGCACAGGGGAAGAGAGATAAATAAACATGCCACTGTAATATATCTGGTACGTACCAGGTGACATGAGATCAAATATAAGAGGCAGCTACTGGTGTCCTGTGATAATGCTATGTGCTTTCCCCATCTTTCCCTCTAAGCATACTGAGAATTTTATAACGCTAAAAAATAATGAAAGTCTGCTGGTTCCCTCCCAATCTTTAGACCTAATGTTTCCTTATTTTGCCCTCTATTATTTGCTCTTCCCTTAGGTAGTTCTCTAAGTGCTCTCAATATTCTCTCCTCAGGTTTTTACCTTGAACATAAGGAGGGAAACCACAAGAAAAGAAAAATCCAATGTCTACATTTAGTAAATATGTTTTCTTATACTGGCAAAATTATTCTACCATGTCATCTACAACTAATAGACAAGTACCCTGAAAAGAGAAAAGATTTTCTTGTAAGAAATCCCTGCAACACAAGGCCCACCCATACCCTGGAAACTCAAATACCTGGCTACTTCAACAACTTCCATCTTAATATGGATATGTCTTACTTTCTCCTGATATGCTGTGCAATTCCACAATGAATTACACCTCCTTCAGATTATAAACTGCCCATTTTCTCCCATGAAAATTCTTGCTGCTTCTTCCTTCCCATCACCTATCTTTAGGACCATACCTTTCCCTGCTTATTCTCAAATAGGTTTAGTTTTAGCTCCACGATAAGTAAACCCGTATCTTAATAGTGGAACCCACTAGACTTTAAGCTCAAGAGAAAGGCTGTGTCTTCATCATCTTTGCATCCAACATCCCAAGGGTGAGAAGTTAATAATGTAGTTGCTGTAAGGTGCCATTGAATTGATTTTGACTCACAGCAACCCCATGTGACAGAGTAGAAGTTCCCCATGGAATTTTCTAGGCTGTACTCATTATAGGAGCAGATTGCCAGGTCTTTTTCCCACAGAGCAGCAGAACCTCTGGGTGGGTTCAAACTGCTAACTTTTCAGTCAGTAGCTAAGCACTTAAAGGTTGTACCACCATTATTCCTTAATGTAGTACTGGACTGAAATTTATGAGACTCTTAAAGGAATCTTGTTTTATGACCATAATAATGAATTCATCAAGTATCTGAACAGTTAAAAGACAAGGCACTACAGGATATTAAAAGTACTGTATCATTAAGCATAATAACTGTTAATAGGAGCAGAAAAGGAAACAAACAGCGCAAAGTGAAATTATTCAGTTATTCCTGATAAGCAGATGTAGATCAGGTTGAGTATATTGTTGACTAAAAAGCTGCCAGAGGAAAGACCAAAGTAGGTATGAGTTACCTGCTGTAATCACTTAGAAACTTGAGAAAGCACAATGCTAGGGAAAAAAGGGGGAGAAGGTGGCTGTTGAGTTATCTAATAACTATTTTTGTTTTTGAATAAATAACAGTATAAAGATGCAAGCATTGGAATATTAGAAAAGTTTTTGCTGTTGTCAGCTTAATGCCAGTTTTTTAAAAAAAGGTTATAAAAGACAATTAAAATGAGTAAGAAACATATAATATCCTTCCTTTGGACAACAGACTATATTCACAATTAGATGGCTGACAATGTAATTAGAGTGGCCCAAACGTCATTCAGTTTAGGCGACACACATGTAAATTACCATTCTCTCCTTTGTACCATGAAGGCCAAGAATATGCTAATCTAAAGATCTGGAAATGGGTCATTCATTCAACAAATATTTATTAAGTACCTACCATATGTCACAAGGAGTTCTCATGAAGCAGTGGTTAAAGCATTTGGCTGCTAACCAAAAGGTTGACAGTTTGAACATACCAGCCAATCTGTGGGAGCTTGAAGATGAAGCAGTCGACTTCCGTAAAGATTTATAGCCTTAGTAACCCTACGTAGCAGTTCCAAGGTCACTAGGAATCAGAACTAACTTGATGGCAATGGGTTTGGTTTTTGCATACCATGTGTCAGGCACTATTCTGGGCGATCCAGCTAACTTAATGATTAAAATTAATGAACAAAATTTTTGTTGTCATGTAATTTATATTCTAGTGGGAAGAGATAAGCAATAAATAATAACTGTCAATTATATAGACTATTAGAAGATCACAGGTGCTATAAAGATAAAGCAAGGAAGGGTGATAAAGTACACCAGCCTTAGGAGATTACAGTTTTTAAAAGGTGTTCAGACTAGGCCTTTCTGAAAAGATATTTGAAAAATAAAACTTGAAGAAGATGAGAGAATTAGCCATGTATATATCCTAGAGAAGAGTACTGCAGGCAGAGGGAATAATGAGTGGAGTACAAAAGTCCTGTGGAGAGCCTTGTCTGGTTTGTTTAAGAAATATTAACGAGGCCAGAGGGACTGCAGTGGAATGAAGTAGTAGTAGTTGTTGTTATGTGTCGTCGTCAGACCCGACTCATAGCAACCCCTCCTTGGGTTTCTGAGGTGGTATCACTACGGAAGTAGATTGCCCCATCTTCCTTCCAAGGAGTGGCTGGTGGGTTTGAACCGCCAGCCTTCTGGTTAGCAGTCAAATGCCTTAGGCACTACAATACCAGAGCTCCCAGGAATGAGATAGGAAGAGACTAAAAGAAGACTATTTTGGCCTATACATCAAAATCATTTGGGGGCGGGGGAAGGCACTAGGTTTGCTGGTCTGATAGAGCCTGGTAGAACCACTGAGACTGTGGCCCCTAGCTGCCCGTTAGGTCTGGAATTGAACCCACTCCTGTGGCTTCAAGCCAAACAAAAGAAAGGCATACGAGGTGAACATTTACATTAGGTAGACACACTCCTTAGAGAGATCAATCATGGGAGAATAGAAGGGCTTTGTACACACAGGGAGATAGCTGGGGGGTGGGGCAGGAGTACATGGGAGGGAAGGATGCAGGGAAGAGGTGACTATGGGAAGGAAGTGAGAGGGGAGCTGTTGCACTGTGGGAAATTGCAGTTAATATCATGAGACAAAGTGTATGTGAGCGGCTGTATGGAAAGTGCATTTGCTCTGTAAAGTTTCACCCAAACCACAAAAAAAATTAAAAAAAAAAAAAGAAGACGACTATTAGGGCCTATACAGTGCTTAAGGCATCTGACTGCTAACTAGAAGGTTGGCGGTTCAAACCCAACAGCTGCTCCGCAGAAGGAAGACAGAACAATCTACTTTCATAAAGATTACGACCTCGGAAGGCCAACGGGGGCCATTATGAGTTGGAATCAACTCGATGGCAGTTAGTTTGGTTTTATAAGGATTTTGGTTTTAATGCTGAGATAGAAAATTTTGACTAAAGGGATAGCATGATCTAACTTACATATTAAAAGGATCAGTTTCGTTGTTATGTGGAGAGGAGACAGAGTATGTGCAAGGGTAAAGTAGTGAGACCAGTGGGAATTATAACAATAATCCAGGTGAAAAAGGATTTGATTTGATGATCAAATGCGCTACGAGAAAAAGAGAAGAATAAAGGATGACTCCAACAGTTTTTGGCTTTAGGAGCAAAAATGGGAGTTGCCACTAACTATGGTAGGAAAGTTTGAGATGTCTATTGAAATCCAAAGGGTAAAGTCAGTAAGTAGTTGGATATTTGACTCTGAAGATCAGGAGGGAGGTCCAGGATGAAGATATAAATTTGGGAATTGTCAAAATTTAGATTTAGACGCTATTTAAAGCCATGAGACAGGATAAGTTGTCTAAAGCACAGCATGTAGATAAAAAGAAGTCCAAGGACTGGACCTTAGGGTACTCCATTGTTAAGCAGCAAGGGAAACAAAAAAACCAAACTCTCTGCTGTTGAAGTCAATTCTGATTTATAGCAACCCTCATTGGGTTTCCAAGGCTGTTAAATCTTTACGGAAGCAGACTGCCTCATCTTTCTTCTGAGGAGTGGCTGATAGGTTCAAACCACAGACCTTCCAGTTAGCAGCCAAATAACCTTAGCCACTACACCATCAGAGCTCCTTAAGCAGCAAGGAAGGTGAAACAAAACCAGAAAGGAGTTTGAGAGGCAATAGCCAGTGAGGTAAGAAGAAAACTAGAAAAGCATGTTTTCCTGGAAAGTAAACATTAGTGCAAGGTGGAGGCAGTAATGAAGTCAAATGTTGCTGAGTTCTTCAGGCCAAGAACTGACCATCGGATTTAGCAAAGTGCAAGTCAGTAGTGATCTTAACAAGAAGTTCCTAGTGAAATGATAGGTGGGAAGAGAAGCCTGACTGAAGTACAGTAGGTTTAAGAGAAACCAGATGAAGGAAAGATAAGTACAAACAACTCTTAGAGCATTTCTGCTGTCAAAGGGAAGAGAAAAACAAAGCAGCCGCTAAAGGGGAAAGTACAGTCAAGAGAGTTTTGTTTTGTCTTTTAAATGGTAGAAATAACACACTCATGGAAATGGCCCAGAAAAGTACTGCTACATGGAAGCCCTAGAGTAAATGGAAGAGAATGGGATCTAGTTCACAAGCAGAGGTGTTGGCCTTAGGTATACAAACAGTCTGTCATTATCAACAGGAGGAAAGACAAAGTATGTGAATAACAATGCTAGTATTGGGTACATGTAATTGTGGAGCTTATGGAAGTTCTCTTCCGTCTTCATAATAAAGCAGGGAAGGACTGAACTGGAAACTTGGGGAGAGAGAAGGTATATCATTATGATGCACAAAAGCGGGAGTGTGAATGGACTAGGGAAATGCAACGTGACAGCATTAAGGGCCTAGTTGAGGTTAGTGGTCAGGGACTTCTAGTGGCACAGTGCCTAAGGCATTTGATTGTTAACCAGAAGGCTTGTGGTTCAAACACACCAGCCACCCTGGAGAGGAAGATTGGGCCATCTACTTCTATAGTGATACCACCTTGTAACCCAAGGAGGGGTCGTTAAGAGTTGGAGGCAACTCCACGGCAGTGAGGTTTTTTTTTTTTTTAAATGTTAAACTGCACAGGTGCATGGACAAACTAGGCAATATATTAGATTTAACTAGGACTGAAATTTTGCCTATTGAGAGAGGAACAGGAATGTGCGAGTATATGCATTGCATGTTTATAATGGTTGACTACAGATTATACAAATACATATTCACACTTTGTTTACTCTCTTGTATTTTATTATAGACCACATTTTTCTAAGGAAAATTATTAGTAAAATACTATCAGGAGATCAGAATTGGCATGAAACCTATCACACACAGTCTCTTTGCTAATGCCCCCAAAAGATTCCCCAATTCTGTGGACTGTTAAAAGAAGATCATCCATTCTCTTTGTACAGACTCTGAACATCTTGACAGCAGGATTTTCAGTTCTTCACTTCTCATTTTTGTATCACCAACGCCTAGGAAAGCTTTGTACACAACAGACATTCCATATAACAGAAGAAACTTGAAAAGTATTCTAAAATTCAATATGGGTTGTGGAGAGTAAAGACGAGTAACATTTGTGTGACAAAGGAAAACTAGCTTAAGAATGACAAAGCTTTGGCATGAACCCAAACGTCACACAAATTGGATCTTTAAAAGTCTCCGTCCGGAGATATGTTCGCCCATGAGGTCTCACAGGCCAAGAAAACCGCTCCGTGCGAACAGCACTGAGGACAGCGAGTTCGCTATCACTATAGGAATTCCTGCAACGGCTCGACGGACCCCAGACAGGAGTGTCAAGCATCTAACTGAATACAGTTAATTTTTGTCGTCCTAAAACGCGGATACAGATCCCATTGTCTCTCACAGCACCCAAAGTCCCGCTGCGCCATATTCTTCCCAAGGACACCCTAGGGAAGACAACTCACGCAGATGGTTATCTTCAGCACACCGTTGGTATAGTCTCGGTACAGTTCCTTCGCTTCTTCGTTGCATTCGATGCACCTGTACTGGCAGGAGGCCGAAGTGGCAGTAGGAGTCGCAGCTGTCCCCTCAGCGCTCCCTTTCCCGGGCCGCGGACCGCACCGCCCTCCGGTACCCATTTCCCTCAACCACGTCGGGGACTTCTGACTCAGTTGAGTGGTGGGAAACTTAGGAGTGCGCGAGCGGAAGGTCTACGCGGCGCGTTGCTTCCTGGGATTCGTAGTCCTAGTGCCGGAAGTGGCTGGAGGCTCACAGAGCTGGGCCTACAATTCCCAGAAGGCAACTCGAGCTCCCTACTCCCTACCTTCCCACGGCCCACCTGCCCCACTGCGGCTTGCAGGCTGGAGGCCGGATTGCGGGGAGAGGGGCACCCGCACATGCGCTTTGAGGGAAGATGGCACCTGCCGGCTGCTGCTGCTGCTGCTGGGGCGGCGCTGTGCCTGCCACGGGCGCTGCCCGGCGCCTCCTGCTGCTGCTGCTGTTGTTGGGGGCCCTGCCCGCCGAGTTGCACCCCGGGGCTCTGGCCACCGAGTACTACTCGCCGCTGTCCCTGCTCAAGCAGGAGCTACAGCACCGGCAGCAGCAGGAGACCCCGGCGGGAGGCGGAGGCTGCAACCCGCAATCTGGGGACTGGGGGGACCAGTACTCGGCCGAGTGCGGCGGTGAGTGGGCGGCGGCGGGTGGGAGTCCGGGCGGCCCAGGCCGGGATTAAAGGAAGGACCAGGGGTCTGGTGTGCGGGACCGCCCGCGGCTGTGGCGTGTCCTCCTGTAGGAGGCGGCGAGCCGGGAGCGGTTCCAGCGGCTCTCTTGCGCGCTCTCTACCCACGCCTCTGCGCTCCCTTTTTCCGCAGCCGCCTGTCGAGGACTGCAATGAATGGAGAAGGGAGCTGACAGTGTGCTCCCTGTAGTTCAGGGCGATCTCTCTGAAGTATGCGGCAGCTGTTGAAAGGGTGGGAATGGCCAGTGCCCCAGCCCAGGAGTAGCCTCTGTGTCCGCCGCCGGCCCAGACCGGGGTGCTCTGGGAACTAGCTTGCGACGGGCAAGACCTGGGTCGGTGCCCGCAGGGGAGATACCTGGCCATCATAAGCCTGAAAATCGGGGTTCTTGATCTCCTGGATTAATGTCTTACGTTAAACACACACTCTGAAAACTTGATCTGTGAAAGAGAGACGGTAACAAAAGGGCAAGCCCATTTTATCTGCTCATTGACATCTCGCTTCCAGTTAAGATTGACTTGCGATCTGTCAGGTGTGTCTCCCAGAGGAAGAACACAGCGCTGCAGGCCTTTAGACTGCCTGTGTCGGAAGCCTGTAATTCTTCCTTAGGGTAGGATGGATTCACTTGCGTGTAATAAACAATTAGAGATGCTGCAGGGGCAAAACACACGTGTACATTTTTACATTTTGAAGTTCTATAAGGATCTTTTCACCCTTCAGTCTGCACCCACCCTCCACCCCCACTCCCCACTCCCCACCTCTGTTTGAGTTACTTTAAGCTTTGAGCTTTTAAAATGTCTGGGTCTCCCACTTACTAAACCTGGTTTGTGACTTTTATAGCCTGACAGCCATGGTATTTCACATTGCGTACCTGGAGAATTCCCATGATAGAATTTAGCAAGGCCAATGACTTTATTCATTGCAAATTCCTTTTGACCACAACATAAAAGGGTGACTATACACGTGGCCAGGAGCTCTGGTAGCATAGTGGCTAAGACACTTACCTGCTAACCAGACGACTGGCGGTTCAAACCCACCAGCCACTCCTCGGAAGGAAGGTTGGGCAATCCTACTTCCGTAGTGATACTGCCTCGGAAACCCAAGGAGGGGTCGCTATGAGTCGGGGCCGACTCGACGGCACATAACAACAACAACAACAATACACGTGGCCTGGGAGCTCTGGTAGCATAGTACCTAAGGCACTTGACTGCTAACCAGAAGGCTGGCAGTTCAAACCCATCAGCCACTCCTTGGAAGGAAGATGGGGCAATCTACTTCCGTAATGATACTGCCTCGGAAACCCAAGGAGGGGTCGCTATGAGTCGGTTCTGACTCGGTGGCACATAACAACAACAACAACAACATACACGTGACCCTCATAAGATTGAATACAAAGGAATCAAATCGACTGTATCTGGGGAAAAAGATGATGGAGAAGCTCAAAGCTCAACATCATAAATCAGAAAAAGGCCAGGGACCAACTCTGGAACAGATCATAAATTGCTCTTGTGCAAGTTCAAGTTAAGGCTGAGGAACATTAAAACAAATCCATGAAAGCCAAAGTACAACCTTGAATATATTCCACCTGAATTTAGAGATCATCTCAAGAATAGATTTCACACAGTGAAGACTAATAACCAAACACCAGATGAGTTCTGGAATGACACCAAGGACATCATTCATGAAGAAAGCAAAAGGTTATTAAAAAGTGAAAAAAAAAAAAAGACCAAAATGGGTGTCAGAAGAGACTCTAATCTTGCTCTGAAATGTAGATTAACTAAAGCAAATGGAAGAAATAATGAAGTAAAAAAGCTGAGCAGAAGTTTTCAAAGAGTGGCTTGTGAAAACAGAGTAAAGTATTACAATGAAATATGTAAAGACCTGGAGTTAGAAAACCAAAAGGGAAAAACATGTTCAGCATTTCTTAAGCTGAAAGAACTGAAAAAAAATAAAATAAATAAATAAAAATTCAAGCCTCTAGTTGCAACATTGAAGGATTCTATGGGTAAAAAATTGAATGATTTTCATCTTCAAAGGAAGATGGAAGGAATACACAGTCACTGTACCATAAAGAATTGGTCAATGTTTAGCCATTTCAGGATGCAGCATATGATTAAGAACTGATAGTACTGAAGGAAGTAGTCCAAGCTGCACTGCAGGTATTGCTGAAGAACAATTCTGATTCCATCAAATTTCCAAGACATTTAGAAGACAGTTACCTTGCCAACAAACTGGAAGAGATCCATATATGTGCCCATTCCAAAGAAAACTGATCCAACAGAATGCAGAAATTATTGAACAATATAACACACAAGTAAAATTTTGCTGAAGATAATTCAAAAATAGTTGTAGCAGTACATCAACAGGGAGCTTCCAGAAATTCAAGCTGGATTCAGAAAAGAGTGTACAATGAGGGATATCATTGCTGATGTCAGATGGATCTTGACTGAAAGCAGAGAATATCAGAAAGATATTGGTTGGGCAATGTTTTATTGACTATGGAGAGGCTTTCTATGTGGATCATAAAATTATAGATTACATTTTGAAGAGTAGGAATTCAAAAACACTTGATTGTGCTTACAAAGAACAAGGGGATAGTACATGGTTATAATCAGGAAAGGTATGTGTGAGAGTTGCATCCTTCCATCATACTTAATCAGTCTGTATGCTGAGCGAATAATCCAAGAAGCTGGCCTGTAGGAAGAACACAGCACCAGAATTGGAGGAAGACTCATTAACAACCTGTGATAAGCACACGATACGACCTTCCTTGCTGAAAATGAAGAGGACTTGAAGCACTTACTCAAGAATATCAAAGACTACAGCCTTTAGTCTGGATTATACCTCAAGACAAAGAAAACTAAAATCCTCACAACTGCACCAATAAGCAACATCATGATAAAGAGAAAAAATATTGCACTTCTCAGGGATTTCATTTTACTTGGATCCACAGTCAACACATGTGGAAGTAGAACTTCCAGACTAAGACAGACTAGGAAGAAAGGCCTGGCCGTCTATTTCAGAAAATTAGCTAATGGAAACCCTATGTATCACAACAGACCTATGTATCACACTATAGTGCAGGAAGACCGAGCCCCACTCAAAATACACAGTGGCTACAACAGTGGACTCGAACATACCTGTGATCGTGAAGATGGTGTAGGATTAGGTAATATTTTATTCTATTGTATGTAAGGTCACCATGAGTTGGAGCCAACTTGACAGCCCCTAACAACAACAACATAACTTACAAGGTGTTTTCTTCCTCATAAAGAAAGGTGCTATGAGAAAAATAAATAGTTGACATATATATGTACTAGGCTAAAGCATTTGACTGCTAACCAGAAGGCTCTTGGTTTAATCCTACCAGCCACTCTGCAGAAGGAAGACTGGGCAATCTACTACTGTAAAGATTTACCTCCTTGGAAACCCAAAGGGTGTTGCTATGAGTCAGAATCAACTTGAGGGCAGTGAGTTTGGTTTTCTGGTTCATGTGTACCAGGTGCTGTTCTAAGTGCTTTCTATTGATTAGCTGAGTTAATCTTCATAACAACAGTAACTACCTCATTGAGTTATGTCCTTTTCTCAAATGAGGAAACTGAGACACAGTGAGATGTCTCACTTTGTTGAGATCATGCAGCCATAAAGGGAGAAACCCAGGTAGTCAGACTCCAAACAAAGGCTTTTCTCTTAACTACTAGGTTTGAGTATAGTATTCACTAGCATACGGTACATATTCAGTAAATCTTCCCTTCTTCTTCTTAGAAGACCTTGATTCTAGGCAGTGGAAGATACAAATCAGTTGACATTATGATGTAATCTAGGTATTTCATTTCTTCCTATTTCAGTAGGGTGTATGGTAGCTTAAATGTGATTCTTAAATGAATCCTCATTTGAGCTATGTTTTACACTTTTTCCCTAGATAATGATAGACATCATATTTTTATAAACTAGGCCATTCTTCATCCCCTCAAGTACAGAGACTGTTATCTAATATTTGCCAGATCAAAGGATGAACACTGTATATAAGGCTTTAAGTGTAGTTTATTTAGACCATTCCTTGGAGAAGGATATCATGCTTTGTAAAGTGGAGAGTCAGTGAAAGACGGGAAGGCCCTCAACAAAATGGATTGACACAGTGACTGCAACGATGGTCTCAGGTATAGCAAGGATTGTGGGGCTGGCACAGGACCAGGCAGTGTTTTGTTCTGTTGTATGTAGGATCGCTATGAGTTGGAGCTGACTCGATGGCACCTAGCAACATTTTCTTTTCATCTCCCCTGAGTAATAGTTATTGTTTTTTAAGCTGCAAGTAGCTGCCAACAGGTGCTAAATCCTACTGGAAGTGGTTTTTTTTTTTTTTTTTTTTTTTAATTACCTAGACCAGCTTGTTTGCTGCTACACTGTCATCGGTCCCTGTAAGTAAATGCCTGGAGTCAGCTGCTGATGATGTTTGGGACTCTGGCGGTTTCCTTTCACTCTGCTAGCTGCAGGATGTGACAAAGGGCAGCCTCTGTTGTGGAGGTTCCCGAAATACCTGTTGTTTCTTCCTCCCTGGACAATTATGTAGAAGCTGAATCCTATGAAACCCACTCCTGTCCCTCTTTGCCTCAAGAAGAACAGATCTCAGTGTTTACAACTAACCATAACATATCTTGAGGGACAACTTATGTTCTGTATTCTGAACCCCATTATGATCAACATTACCAAACCAAACTAAACCCACTGCCATTGAGTCAGATCCAACTCATAGCGACCCCTCCTTGGGTTTCCAAGGTGGTATCATTACGGAAGTAGATTGCCTTAGGGTCTAGATAAATGCTAGGATCCAGAACTAATGAATTCTTCAGAATCAAACAGACCTGAATAAAAGGTTTGGGGCAGGGGTGTGTGTGTGTGAAAAAGACCTGACCTCAAAAACCAAACCAAACTCACTGTTATTGAAT